TAAATTAAAATCTATTTTAATCAATATCTTCCCAAAAATACATTTATTTAACCCATACATGGGCATCACTGGCTTGCTACCAATTATAAAACCTACACTAAAAAAAATACACATAAAAAAATTTAAAGATAAAAAAATAGGAATTGACGGATATGCATGGCTTTATCAAATCTTGAACTCAGTGGCAGAAGAGTTATATCTTAATACACCAACTACACGCCATTTAAAAATGTTTGAGAACAAAATAAGACATTTAACGTCTAATGGTGTAATTCCTATTGTAATTTTAGATGGAGACTTTTTAGTTTCGAAAGAAAAAACAAATTTAGAAAGAAAATTACGTAAAGAAAAATATAAAGAAGAAGTTGAAATGTTGATTGCCAAAAATAATTGGAAAAAAGCAAAAGAACTAATGAAAAGATGTGTTTCTGTGTCTAGAAAAGTTATTTGTGATTTAACAATCCTTCTTAAAAATCTTAAGATCGAATACATAATTGCACCTTATGAAGCGGATGCACAATTATGCTATTTAGAAAGTATTGGATACATTGATTGTATTATGACAGAAGATAGTGATATGATACCATTTGGATGTAAAAATATTTTATTTAAATTTGACAATTCATATGTAGAACATTACACAATTGAATGTTTAGAAAAAGCAAAGGATAAATTTTTTAAAAATTATATTCAGGATATTTGTATTTTAAGTGGATGTGATTACGCAGACTCAATACCAGGAATAGGTGTATTAACTGCATATAAATATTTAATTAAAGGTAAAAGTATAGAAAATGTTATAAAATTGATACAAGTAAAAAAGACAGTGCCCGAAACTTATATAGAAAATTTTAATAAAGCAAAACTTACTTTTAATCATCAAGTAATTTATGATCCTATAAATAAAAAAAGAAAACATCTTAAGCCACTTGAACAACATCAAGACTTTTTAGGTTCACTAGACGATGTAGAATATTTTTATGAAATGGAGGAACAAAAAGATTCGCTATCACAATTAATTGAACCTAAACGAATAATAATTAGTCGACACTATAAACCTATTACAACTGAAGAAATAATACTAAAAGACATTAAAGTAACAAAAAAAAATTCTAAAACTGATGATAATTTATACTCTCCTTACTTTACACAATAATAGCTTTTAATCTAAAAAAATATTATTTTGGATATTCAAGACTAAATATCCTGTCTTTATCGTTAATTAAATACTTTTTCTTTTCTAATTTATTAGTTACATAATAATCACTAACTTTTGTAAGTGGAAATCCTTGTGTTATTTCTAAATACAATGTTTCATATTTAAATAAATCAGAAACAATTTTATTCTTTTTTTCAAGCAATTCTGACTTCTTTTGTACTAAAAACTTAAGATCTTCTAGTTGTTTCGCTAATTTTGCTTTTTTTGACATAAAAGGGTTAATTCTTATGAAAATTTTAAAAATAAATATTTTTTAATCTAATTTGGGTGTTTGTCTAAATCAAAGTGCCTAAGGTGACGTTAGAAAGCTTGTCTATGGACAGATGAAGACAAATCACAGAAAAAAGCAACAATGAAAAAAAAGACTTTTTGAAGCATTTAGTTAAATGAAATATAGGATTATTTGTATTGAATGAAAGAGTAAAAAAATATTTTATACATAAATAAATAAAACTTTAAATAAACATTTAATGCATAAATTACAAAATTTTAGAATTTGCCCTTAAATGTTAAATGAAATAAAAAATATTTATAAAGAAATACAAGATTTAGATACCATTTTTAGAGAATACAAAAATGTAAAAACTGCATTAAGAGATTGTGAAAATGAAATGTCTGAAATAGAATTAAAAATAGAATCTAATGAAAAACAACTAATTCAACAAAACATTGATAAATTAGAAATTGAATATATTAATATTATAAATGAAATTAAAAAAATAGATATATGTTCAAAAGAATGTTACAAATTATCTGATATAAAAATAATGTTAGAATATATTACAGATTCTGAAATTTTAATGACAAAGTGTAAGAATTTTTTAAGTTCTTTAATATATGATATCTATATTACAAAAGATAACCTTATCAAATATTTTAATCCTGAAAGTTATTGTAATGTTAAATTAGATAGTAAAGTGTATAAAATAGTTAAAATATCCAATGACTTAAATGATCTTTTCGATGTGCTTAAAGATGAAAACCATTCTGTAATACGAAATAAATGTTTACATATGTCAAAAATGATACTTGAAGATGAATTAGAAACAATTTTACCTGGTGAATTGTTAGTTTATTATGATTTAACACATTTTTATATAATTTTTGAATGTTTTGAAGATTACGATTTAAATGAAGATCAATATTTTTCATCTGTAAGTTTTGTAAATCGAGATTTTTTAAGTAACAAAAAAAACTTAAAAAATATTTTTTATGAAATTTTTAAAAATAATTTAATAACAAGATTACTCGAAAATAGTGGAAAAAATAATTTTTTAGTTGATACCAATGATTTTTTTAAAAATACAGAATATTTTATTACAGATATTAATGAATGGATTTTAGATTGTTTAATGAAAGAAATAATTATAATTTCAAAATCGAAAAAATCTGGAAAATTAGTAAAAATTAATAATGAAAGAATAGCTTCTTTGACTAAGCAAATTGATCCAAAATTTTTACCTGAATATGTTTCAGATGAACTATTTAGATTTTTATTGTGCATGAATATTTACAATACTATTGAATCAAAAAGATTACCAAAAGCTTTAAAAATAATAGAACGAGCTTTATTCAAAATGATGAACTATGAAGATACTTTTATAGGATTTACAGATTCTACAACCATTTTAAGAATATTTCCGCACATGAAAATATTGCCACAAATCTCAGTTTTAAGAGAAAAATATTATTGCGAAATTATAAAAAAATCTACAGAACTAACAATAAGCTTACAAGATTCACTTATGGTTCTAAAAGTATATTTTAAAAGCAAATATTATGATTTTTTAGAACAAGTTAAAAAATTTGTACCCAAGAATAGCCAGTTATCCTTTGAAATTTCTTTTTTTAATTTGTTATATACAAATATTACAGAGAATATATTTTGTATAAAATATCTTACAAATGATAAAGTATCCGATATGTCAGATTTGTTAAAATATTTATTGGATTTGTCATTTAATATTCCTAAAGAATGTATTGACATTTATCCTAAATTTAAATCAATAAGTACTATATTTTCTAGTGACTTAGAAAATTTGATTTCTAAACAAAAATCAGGAACAATTTTTTTGTCGAATGAAGAGATCAAACTCTTAGTCACATTACTTTTTAAGGAATCAAAAACTAGAAATAATTTTATAAGATACTTAGAACTTTAAATTTTTATTTAAATTCTTTCATTATTTCTATACATTTATCTTCCATACTAGATATAATGTTATGTATTTCTTTTTTATCTTCTAAAATACTTTTGTTGAGTGAGCTTATAAATTTTTTATACAGAAATTCTAACTCTTTAAAAGAAGACATTAGGGCATCCTAAAAATTTAATGAAGAAGAATGAATATAAGAAACAAAATAAATTTAATAATCTTATATTTGTAAAAGATATACCAGAAAAATATGACTATATTACAGTTTATAATTTTTTGAATAAATTTGGAAAGATACAAGAAATTAAACCAATATTTTCACCTAATCAATTATTTATGAAATTTATTTTTATTTTGTTTAAAGAAGAAAGATCAAAGTATTATTTACAAGAATATTATAGTACTAAATCATCTATAATAAGATTTAATAAAAGAATAGAAGACAAATTAGAAGAAGAAGAACACCAGTATACAAAACAAAAATGTATAGAATTACAAGAAAAAATAAAAAATTATTCTAATTTGAATTCTGTAAAAAATAAAAGCCAAAATTTATATTTTACAAATAAAAAAGAGTGGATTGAAAGTGTTACTGATATTCAGAATATTATTAAAAAATATTAAACAAGATACAAATTGTTATTTAATCAGTTAACTTTAGTTTAAATCTTTAAATATCCTATAAAAATATAAAATTTTCAACAATTTTTTTGCACTATAATTTTTTAGCATATTGTTTTGTTTAAATATTAAAAAATTTAATTATCCTGTAATATTTGTTATATTTATTTCTAGATTATACAATTAAGATACACCTACTTCTTTTTTATTAATTATATATTCAATAAAAGATAAAAAATATTAAGAATCCCTATGTCTTTAAATTTACAAAAAGAAATTTCTGAAGCCATAAAAAATTATTTTGGTTTTTGTACATTAAAAGTCGAAAATCTTTCTTATCTTCATGTTGGACATAAATCAATGAAAGACGTAAATTCATTAGAAACACATTTTAAAATAAAAATTAAATCTAAAAAATTTAATGGTCAGAGTGAAGTTGAAAGACATAGAATGATTTATAAAATAATAGACTTTGCATTTAAAAAAGGATTACATGCAATAGAAATGGATTGTGAATCAGATCTCGAATAAATTTATTAATTTTACCCTTTAATGTCTAGAAAGTTTAATATTGCCATGGTCACTGATTTTTATTATCCATCAACTGGTGGAATTGAAACACATATAAGACATCTAACAAATAATCTTATAAGTTTGGGACATAAAGTAATTGTAATAACTCATAAACACTGTAATATGAAAGAAGCCAAAGAATTTCGTGACATAAAGGTTTATAAACTTAATCTACCAATAGTGGCACTTAATACATCATTTCCAAGCTTATACGCAAATTTTTATATTTTTAAAAAAATTTTCGAATATGAAAATATTGAAATTGTGCACGGCCATTCTACAATGTCAAATTTATGTTTAGAAGGATTATTTCATGCTAGAACTTTAAATTTAAGAACTGTAATTACTGAACATTCAATATTTGAAAAAGGACCATTTGAAAATGTAGTTGTAAATTTATTATCAAAATTTATACTAAAAACTGTTGATAGATGTATTTGTCCAAGTAGAACATCCCAAGAAAATTTTATGACAAGAATTAAATTATCTAAAAGTGTTGTAAAAGTTATACATCATGCAGTTGAGGCCAAAAAATTTTATCCTGATTTAAAAAAAGAAAAATCAAAAACTGTTATAATTATGTCAAGATTAGTATTTAGAAAAGGAATAGATTTATTAATAAAAGCAATTCCATTGATTTGTACTTTAGACAAAAATATAAATATTATTATTGCCGGGGAAGGACCAAAAAAAGATGAAATTGAACAAGTAGTTGATGAAAAAAAATTATCTAATCGTGTTAAAATTATAGGTGAAGTTCAACATAAACACGCGGGGGATATTTTACGAAAGGGTGATGTTTTTTTGAATACTTCATTGACTGAAACTTTTTGTTTAGCAATTTTAGAAGCATCTATGTGTGGTTTACATGTTGTATCTACAAATGTTGGAGGAATACATGAGGTTTTACCAAAAAAGTTAATTACATTTGCCGAACCAACACCGGAAGATTTAGCTCTAAAAGTTGTTAAAAAGATAAATGATTTTGATAAAAAAGAAATTGTATCACAATATGAATATTTGAAAAAAAATTATTCTTGGAGAAGAGTGGCATTACAAACAGAAGAAATTTATAATGAAATAAATCATAGAAATCTTGGGATTAGAAATAGACTATTGGAATATAATTCAATATTTGAACATTTTTTAATTATTTTAGAATATGTATGGTTATATTGTATTTATATTTTTACTTAATTAAGTTTGTTTGTAAAAAACAACAAATTAGTTTTTTTAAATTATATATTAAATTTTTTTTTAAATTTATGCATTTATTTTTTTACATTTTATATGTTTATAATATAGTTTTACCTAGCACTTGTACAAATGCAGGTTTAATAGCTCTTACTTTTGATGAAGGACCAACTGAAAATACTGATGATATATTAGATTTAGTTCAAGATAATAATATATTAGTAACTTTTCACTTTACAGTACATATGTTATCGTCAGGAAAACATAGAAGTGTATATAAAAGAGCTGTTGAAGAGGGACATACTGTTGGATTAAGAACAACACCAAGTAGAAATTATGATGATATGGAACCCGATGTAATAAATTCTGATATTAGTAAACAGATTGATGCTATTAATAAAGTTACAGGAACAGATATAAAATTTGCAAGATCTCCTGTAAATGATGGAGATGTCAATCCAGACATATATAGTATTTTTTTAGAAAATGGTATTATTCAATCTTATTATAATTACAGTTATTCTGAGGAAGATAAGACAATTGAAGATTTCGAATTTACACTTTCTACAGCAAGTCCTCAAATAGATTCTTTTATTGTTACACTTTACGAAAATATTGATTTGAATGAACTTGAAGAAATAATTGATATAGGTAAGAAGAATGGGTATGAATTTGTAAATATGGATCAATGTCTAGGAGATTATGAACCAGATCCTGAAACCTCATTAGGTGCAAATTATAAAAAGAAAAATAATGGAGAAGTTTTAGAAATATTTGGATTATATACAATAGTTCTATTTTATTGTTTACTATAAATAAAATTATTTTACATTATTTATTTTTATAAATAAAAATATTAAAAACAATTTTTGACGTAAAAAATCTTAGATTTATTTTTGTATATAAAAATATTACATTTCTATTTAAATCGTATAATTTTTTATATTAAATACGTCGTAAGTTATGTTGTTATACAATAATTCATAAAATTTATAATTGTTTTTGTAACAAATTAATCTATTTTTTTTTAAAAAATTTACCCCAAGGAACGGAAGAACAGCATTAGAAAATACTCTATGGAAAGTCCTCGGAAAAATATAGCTGAAAAGCAGCTTTATCGTTTTATTTTTTTCGTTTAAATAGTTTAATGCTGTTAGGTATTGGTCTACCCAACAAAATGAGGCTTACTCTCTTGTTCCTTTTTTAATTTAATTTTTTTAAATTTTCCTTTTTTGTATAAAAAATTTATTTGTTTAGTATGAATAAAAGTCATAAATTCTAATTTATAAAATTTTTTTATTACCCCAAAATGAAATATATAGTTGTATCTGGAGGTGTAGTATCTGGAATTGGAAAAGGTGTTGTGTCTAGTAGTATTGGAACTATATTAAAATCAAAAGGATATAATGTAATACACATTAAAATAGATCCATATCTTAATTTTTCAGCCGGTATGATGGCACCATCTGAACATGGAGAAGTGTATGTTTTAAATGACGGCACTGAAACTGATATAGATCTTGGGAATTATGAAAGATTTCAAGGAGTAAAGTTAACTAGTGATAATTCTATTACTGGTGGTAAAATTTTATATAATGTTATTTCTAAAGAAATGAAAGGAGAATATAATGGTAAAACTTTACAAATTAATCCACATTGTATTAATGAAATTATTAATAAATTAAAAAAAGTCTCTAATTCTGAATATTTTGACGAAGTTAAAAAAGTTAATTTTTTCCCAGAAATTGTTATAATTGAATTGGGAGGAACAGTAGGAGATGCTGAATCTGTTATGTTTCTTGAAGCTTTATATAAATTTAAAAATTTATTATCCAAGGAAGATTTTTTATTAATCTCTGTAGATTTTCTAGTAGAGTTACACGGATTTGAACATAAAACAAGACCTTTACAAGTTTCTGCAAGAAATTTAAGATCTTTTGGATTAAACAGTGATATTATTATTTGTAGAGGACAACATAAAATGGAAAATTATGTACTTAATAAAATAGCAGAAAGATGTTTAGTAAATAAGGATAGTATTTTTTTAGTACCTAATATGAATTCAATATATAAAGTACCAAATTATTTAAATTCTCAAGGATTGTTTGACGTTATTTCTAAAAAACTTAATATATTAAAAAAAGAAACTTCTGATTTATATTTTAACAAATTTGAAAGTCTTGCAAAAAGACACGAAAAAGCTGTATCTATTGGTATTGTAGCAAAATATAGTGTACAAGCCGATTCTTATTCTAGTATTATACATGGTTTATTGTTTTCTTCTTCTGAATTGGGAGTTAATACTGAAGTCATTTGGATTGATGCAGAATTACTAGAACGTAATGAAGAAATAGAACATAAAAAGTTAGAATCTTGTATGGGAATTTTAGTACCAGGAGGATTTGGTCAGAGAGGTATAGAAGGTAAAATAAAGGCTATACAATATTGTAGAGAAAATAATATTCCTTTTTTAGGAATATGCCTTGGGTTACAACTGTCTGTTATTGAATTTGCTCGTAACGTTTTAGGCTTAAAAAATGCGACTTCTGAGGAATTTGATTCTAAGGCAGAACATCAAGTAATAACATTTTTAGACTTTAATGGTGTACAAAAAGAAACATTAAGACTTGGTGCTAATGATATTGTATTAAATAAAGATTCTAAAATATTTAAAATTTACAAAGACACTTGCATCTCTGAAAGACATAGACATAGATATGGTATTAATAAGAAATATACAGATCTTCTCTCAGAACAGGGATTTATATGTTCTGGAAGATCAAGCTGTGATAATGTTGCAGAAATATTTGAGCTTTCAACCCATAAATATTTTATAGGAGTTCAGTATCATCCTGAATTTAATGCCAACCCTTTTGCACCTTCCAAACTTTTTACCGCTTTTATTAAAGCAGCTTTGGATTTAAATTTTTAATAAATGATTTTAACTAAATTTTTTTATTTTGAAAAGAATTTACGAAT